CTTGACGAGATCTCTAGTCTTTCCCATTCTATTGTTTAAAACTCTTCAAAAAAATGGGCATAGAAGGAATCTACCTCAACATAGCAAAGGCCATATGTGATAAGCCTACAGCAAACATTATTTTCAATGTTGAAAAACTGAAAGCATTCCCCCTAAGATCAGGAACAAGACAAGGGTGTCCACTTTCACTATTGTTATTCAGCATAGTTCTGGAAGTCCTAGCTAAAGCAATCAGAGAAGAAAAAGAAATAAAAGGAATCCAGTTCAGAAAAGAAGAAGTCAAGCTCTCACTGTTTGCAGATGACATGATACTACACATAGAGAACCCTAAAGAGAGTATCAGAAAGTTACTAGAGCTAATCAGTGAGTTTAGCAATGTTGCAGGATACAAAATCAATATGCAGAAATCCCTTGCATTTCTATATACTAACAATGAAAAATCAGAGAAATTAAGGAATTAATCCCATTCACCATTGCAAGAAAAAGAATTAAGTATCTAGGGATAAACTTACCTAAGGAGACAAAAAGAACTGTAAGCAGAAAATTATAAGACACTAATGAAAGAAATCAAAGATGACATAAACAGATGGAGAAATATTCCATGTTCCTGTAGAAAGACTCAGTATTGTGAAAATGAGTCTTCTGCCAAACACATCTACAGATTCGGTGCAATCTCTATGAAGTTACCAGTGACATTTTCCACAGATCTAGAACAAAAAAGTTCACAATTTACATGGAAACACAAAAGACCTTGAACAGCCAAAGCAGTCTTAAGAAAAAAGAGTGAAGCTGAAGGACTCAACCTTCCTGACTTCAGATTATACCATAAAGCTACAGTCATCAAGATATTATGGTGCTGGCACAAAAACAGAAATATAGACCAATGGAACAGGATAGAAAGCCCAGAAATAAACCCATACATCTATGGGTACCTTATTTTTGACAAAGGAGGCAAGAATATACAAGAGGGCAAAGACCTCCTCTTCAATAAATGGTGCTGGCAAGACTGGACAGTTCCATGTGCGAGAATGTAATTAGAACACTTCCTAACACCATAGACAAAGGTAAACTCAAAATGGATTAAAGACCTAAATGTAAGACCAGAAACTATAAAACTCCTAGAGGAAAACATAGAACACTCAATGACATAATTCAAAGCAGGAGCCTCTGTGACCCACCTTCTGGTGTAACAGAAATAAAAACAAAAGTAAACAAGTGGGACCTGATTAAACTTAAAAGCTTTTGCACAGCAAAGGAAACTATAAGCAAGGAGAAAAGACAACCCTCAGAATGGGAGAAAATAATAGCAAATGAAACAACTGACAAAGGATTAATTTCCAAAATATACAAGCAGCTCATAGAACTCAATACCAGGAAAACAAACAGCCCAATCAAAAAGTGGGAAAAAGACCTAAACAGACATTTCTCCAAAAAAGACAAAAAGATGGCTAACAAACACATGAAAAGATGCTCAACAGCGCTCATTATTAGAGAAATACAAATCAAAACTACACTGAGATATCACCTCACACCAGTCAGAATGGCCATCATCAAAAAGTTCACAAACAATAAATGCTAGAGAGGGTGTGGAGAAAAGGGAACGCTCTTGCACTGTTGGTGGGAGTGTAAATTGATACAGCCACTATGGTAGATGGTATGGAGATTCCTTAAAAAACTAGGAATAAAATCACCATATGACCCAGCAATCCTATTCCTAGGCATATACCCTAAGGAAACCAAAATTGAAAGAGACACATGTATCCCATTGTTCCTTGAAGCACTATTTACAATAGCTCGAACATGGAAGCAACCTAGATATCCATGGACAGATGAATGGATAAAGAAGTTGTGGTATGTATACACAATGGAATATTACTCAGCCATAAAAAGGAACACCTTTGAGTCCGTTCTAATGAGGTGGATGAACCTAGAACCTATTATACAGAGGGAAGTGAGTCAGAAAGAGAAAGATTAATACCTTATTCTAACGCATATGTACGGAATCTAGAAAATGGTACTAAAGATATTTACAGGGCAACAATGGAGAAACAGACATAAAGAATAGACTTATGGACAGAGGGAGAGGGGAGGAGAGGGTGAGATGTATGGAAAGAGTAACATGGAAACTTAACTTTGAGTTCAGTTCAATCTCAGTCGTGTCTGACTCTTTGCAACCCCATGAACTGCAGCACGCCAGGCCTCCCTGTCCATTACCAACTCCCGGAGTCCACCCAAACCCATGTCCATTGAGTCAAACTTACTTTGCTATATGTAAAATAGGTAGCCAACAGGAATTTGCTATATGGCTCAGGAAACTCAAAGAGTAACATGGAAACTTACGTTACCATGTGTAAAATAGATAGCCAAGGGAATCTGCTATATGGCTCAGGAAACTCAAAACGGGCTCTGTATCAACCTAGAAGGGTGGGATAGGAAGAGAGGTTCAAAAGGGAGGGGATATTATGTATACCTACGACTGATTCATGTTGAGGTTTGACAGAAAACAACAAAATTCTGTAAAGCAATTATCCTTCAATAAGAAAATAATTTTTAAAAAGTCAGACATGCCTGCCATATTAACCAGTCTTCCCTGCTTCATAGCTGTTTGACCCAGCAGAAAGGAAGCACAGATCCTTACAGAGACCTGTGTCCTGTTTGAAATGTAAAGTATATTGTTTGTTTTTCGCTTTATTCATTACCACCAAAACTGAAAAATAATACAAATGCCTCATCAACAGGGAAAAGGGTAAATAAGTTGTGGTATAATGGGATACTACATAGCATAAGAGAGAAGTGAACTATTGATGCATGCAGCAACATGGGTTAATCTCAAGATAGTTATGCTGAGTGAAAGAAAGCATACAGAAAATAGTATATACTATCATTCCATTTATGTAAAACTCTCAAAAATATAAACCATAGTAGCAATGGCAACACACTCCGGTACTCTTGCCTGGAAAATCCCATGGATGAAGGAGCCTGGTAGGCTGCAGTCCATGGGGTTGCTAGGAGTCGGACACAACTGAGCAACTTCACTTTCACTTTTTATTTTCATGCATTGGAGAAGGAAATGGCAACCCACTCCAGTATTCTTGCCTGGAGAATCCCAGGGCCGGGGGAGCCTGGTGGGCTGCGGTCTGTGGGGTCGCACAGAGTCGGACATGACTGAAGCGACTTAGCAGCAGCAGCAGAAAGTAAGTCATAGGGGATGAAGTGAAAGGATGGCAGGAAGAAGGAATTAGGAGGAGACACAAGGAAATTTGGGAAGGATGATAGACTCTGTTGACTACTGTAATGCTTTCATGGGTCAAGTTAAAACATCAAATTGTACACTTTATACAATTTAAGTCAGTTATATCTCCATAAGGCTGTTTTTGAAATATGTGTATGTAGGCATGTATACGTATGAATGCATGTATGTGATTGAGGGGACTCGTAGATGAAAGGAGACTTGAGAGACATAGCAACCAAATGCCATGTTTAGACTTTGCTGTGTCCTGATTCAAGCAAGCCAACTATAGTAAGACATTCTGGAGACACTTGAGGAAATAGTTTGAGTGTTAGATTATGTTGATTAATTATTGTTAATATTGTTAGGTAAGACAGTAGCACCAAACAAAAGCCCATGTCTGTTAGACATAATTCACTTGGTATGAGTTTATGGGTGAAAGCATACAGTGCTTGTGATGTGCCTTTGAAATACTCTAGGACAATAATGATAGGGGAATAGATGAAAAATATAGAGAAATATTGATAATTGAAATTCAGTGATGAGTACTTTAAAGGTTCATTAAATTCCTTTTTCTTTTGTGTACTTTGAAGTTCCTCTTAAAGTTTTCTGTTGTTTTTGTTTTATTGTCAGGATAAAATCCAAGGTCTCCCTTGTTTTAGCCTTTATCATACTACTACAGCCCCATCATCTGCCTCCCATCACAGTTTAGGATCTGGTTATATGCAAGGTTATATATCTGTCCCAGTGCGCCTGCAGTCTTGGTTTGCACCTATTATCCCAGTATAATTATTAACAGGGTCCTCTCACTCTCAGAATATTCTAATTTGAGTAATAAAATATATGCTCACCATAGTTACAGTTACATCAATCTGTAATTTCTCTCACATACCTGTGCCTCTCACCTATTTGTCTTTACTGGAGTAGTCCTTGGTCCAGAATCCCCCTTCCTGTCCCAGTGCTTTCCTTATCTAACTCCTTCCTACTCTTTTCCAAGCCCTAGAGATTTGTCTGATTTAACTCTCTTAAATAAATGAGAAAAACTGAAGCTCAGAAAGGTGAATGTCCCTTCCTAACTAAGATCATGGAGCATAGCAGTGGCAGTCAGAAGCAGAGCTCATGACTGCATCCCTCCCCCTATGCACTGAGGTTGATAAGCAGTTTTGAGGCGTTTTAGAGGTAGCCTTTCTCAGAGACAGAGCTTGTATGTCTAAGAGTGTGTCACTCTTGGAGCAGAATAAGAAAGCTATTGGAACAGTGGTCCGTACCTCTGATGTGTATAAGAACTAGATACTGATAATGTAATGTTTCAAATGTTTGTTAGATACAAAATGCATTGGTGGTTATGACACCTGGGTGTTTTTTTTTTTTTTTTACTATATACACTTATTTATCAGAATGCTAAGTCTGTGGGGAAACTGCCAGTTTTTCTAACTTTTTAATTGTTTTCTTGGAATCCTTTCATGTGATATGACTTGGAAAGTAATGTAGGATAATAGGACTTTATATATTTATTTTAAAATAAAGAATATCATCTAGAGCATATCTTAAAAGTTATCACAAGAAGGAAAAAGGTCTGTCTGGTGATGGATATTGAGTTACTGTGGTCATTTCAAAACATATACACATATTGGATCATTATGTTGTATACCTGAAATTAATACAATGTATATATTAAAATTCAGTAAGAATTTTATTAAAGTTTGCTGAAATAAAAAAAAAATCCAGAGATTTTGCACCTAATATCTGTTTTTCTTTGCTATTTTCATAGCGTCGTCTTGGAGATGCAGCCAAGAAAGCCATCAGCAAATTGACAACCAGAACAGTGAAAAAGGGTGATAAGGTATAGTAATGAAATCACTTTAGCACTGTAAAACAGTAAAGTATTTTGCTTTTCATTTGGTAGGTGACAATGCATACTGACCATTTGTGTCTCCTCCATTAGGTTTTCCTTTTACTTCAAGCATACTATCTGATGCTTTATTGTAAACTAACTTCTCTTGGAAATCTTATTCTTAGTATGCCTGTTATCTGGAGATCATACAGTTCTCTAATTTTCCTGGACTTTTAATGCTCTTGTCATCATTAGCTTCACTGGACTCGTATAATTTCCCTAGCTGTTTCCCTAACAGTTTTCTTCTGCTGAAACCTAGCATACTTTGGGGTTCTTCTGTACAGAGCCAGGAAGGTGCGTTCTCTTCCTGTGCTTTCTAAGACTTTGCATCTCTCTTCTATGTTTTGATTCTTCACATTAGTGGAGACTGGAGACCCACATTCAGGGCGTGGCTGTTAACATGGTGCTCCCTGTCCAGCTGGCTGAGCAGTTTGAAAGAAGGGCACTGTTTGTTAGAGTTGGGCCTGGTAGGTTACGGGGAATAAATCGGAGAGGCAGTGATAGAAGCTATCTGTGGCTGAAATTGCTAACCCCAGTTTTTCAGTCAGATCGCGAAACTTGGTGGAGTCCTGCTTCTGCTTTCTGTGGACAAAAATAGCAACTTAATGTGAGACCCTATATTCAATATATTCAAGGCTATCTAGAATTAAAAAATTGTATCTATGAAGGCATAAAAACCAAACCTGTCTTCTGCTAAAGACAACTCTAATTTTTTATTGAAGAACTCTAGAAGGATAATTACAGATAATTCTCCATCCTTTTAAGTTTTACCACTTTCTTTACTCATTTTTATTCCCACTTCCTTGACACCCTACATCTATTTTCCCTTGTCACAGCTTGGAAAGGTAGAAATATTTTCAGTGAACTTCATGGTACACTAAATAAACAAAAAACTAGAAATACTTGCAGAAAATATATGCAGCATCTCAACAGCTATACTTCATGCCAGAGGAGTGATAACCCATATAAATGCTTTTTTGATCTGATAGCCTTCAGCTGCCACATTAATTTGAACTTTCCTGGAGCTCATTTAGCTTATCCATCCTACTCTGTCCCCCATGCTAACCATCTTTCCTTACTAAGTCAACACTTTTTCTTAGTTTATATCTCCTAGACCTGTCCTGCTGAGTTTCAGTCCAAGGGGCAGTGACGCAACAAATAGTGTTGCCTTTCCTGGTAGTGCTCTGTTTAATGACAAGTCAGGGGAACCCTTCCCCAGTCCAGAGGAGGCAGAGATCAGTTACCCTTGTTGACCAAACACCTGGCAGACTCTTCCTGAACCTTGATAAAGACCTAGTATAGAGTCAGATCCGTGGCTGTTCTCTGTCCCAGATCTCCTATCCTTGGGCGGGTCTGGTGGTGGCTCACCATCTTTCCTGCCTGTACTTAACTTTGTGGTCAGATGCGTGTCCTGGTGAGGACAACATACTCAGAATACTGACGCAGCAGTAGTGGGGAGAAGGTGGCCCAAGGTGATGGCTGATTTGAATCTTGAAAAACGTTATTATTCTGATTTCAAAGCTATTTCACAAACAGAATTAGTATTAATTGTTAAACTATAGTTTTAAAAACAAAGTAGATTGGCCTGGATACAACTTGGGTTGACACGGTTAAGCAGTTGGAAACATACTACATTTTGTATAACTTTTCATTCTATAATTACCTATTTACCATAGTTGCCACAGGAGAAATTTTAGCTGGATTGTATCTCCTCCATTTAGGTACTTTAAGGAGTAGTGTGTAACTTTTGTTCCCACGCTTTGCCTTTCAGGAAACAGACCCAGACTTCGATCATTGTGCAGTCTGCATAGAAAGCTATAAACAGAATGATGTTGTCCGGATTCTGCCCTGCAAGTATGTTGGCTTTCTTTGTTTAAAATAGAATGGTACTAATGTGATTTGTGTATCTCCCTTTTGGAGGGGGTATCCATTTGCTTTTGAGAGCCATTCTTACCCACAACTTCTCTGGTAGGAAGAGGCCTGGCTGCACACTGAACATGGTGGTAAACAGAAATAATACAGAAGGACAACTTCATACTGGCCCTGCCATTTCTGAGTCATGTGGCCCTGGCAGCTCTACTGCAGACTTCAGCAGGACCTGATTGCAAACCTTCTCTAGTTAAGAGAAAAATAGGGTGCATCAGTAGCCTAAAAGCAGTAAGGTCAAGAATTCTGATTTCTGTGGGTTTCAGATCTAGCCACTGATCCTCTCCTTCTTAGATCAAGGATACATCACTAGGCCCTCCAATAAAGCCTCAGCAGTGTCCACTTGGCACTGGGTACCAGAACTCTGAATTGGCAGCTGGCTTCTTTACCACTAGGCCACATGGCAGAAAGTGAAGAGGGACTAAAGAACCTCTTGATGATGATTAAGGAGGAAAGTGAGCGAGCCAGCTTAAGACTAAATATTTTAAAAATTAAGATCATAGCATCCAGCCCCATTACCGTATGGCAAATAGAAAGGGAAAAGATGGAAGTAGTGACAGATTTCCTCTTCTTGGGCTCCAAAATCACTGCAGATGGTGACTGCAGCCATGAAATAAGAAGACTATTGCTTCTTGGCAGGAAAGCAATGACAAACCTAGACAATGTGTTGAAAAGCAGGGACGTTACTCTGCTGACAGGAGTCCGTATAGGCAACGTTACGGTCTTCCCATTGGTCAGGTACGGTTGTGAAAGCTGGACCATAAAGAAGGCAGAATGCCAAAGAATTTATGCCTTCGAACTGTGGTGCTGGAAAAGACTCCTGGAAGTCCCTTGGACAGCGAGGAAATCAATCAATCTTAAGGGACATCAATCCTGAATATTCACTGGAAAGACTGATGCTAATGCTGAAGCTGCAATATTTTGGTCATCTGATGCACGCAGATGACTCATTGGAAAAGTCCCTGATGCTAGGAAAGATGGAGGGCAGAAGGAAACAAGAGCATCAGAGGATGACATGGTTGGATGGCATCACCGATGCAGTGAACGTGAACTTGGGAAGACTTCGGGAGATGGTGAGAGACAGGGAAGCCTGGCATGCTGCAGTTCATGGGGTCACAAAGAGTCAGACATGAGTGGGCAATTGAACAACAAGCAGAACTCTAGGACTTGGGTTAAGCCTTTGATTGAGCCTTGGCTGTGTACAGTGGGGAGGACTGGTACGTGCTGTGTGCCTACCCCAGGTCAGGCACTCTGCTCTGTGCAGTTTGCATCTGCTGTCTCCCCGTTGTCCAGTGAGGTGTGGTGACGTCAGCAGTGGAGCTTCCAGGGCCAGGGTCACACAACTCAGAAATGGCAGTGCTGGTGTAAAAATGTCCTTCTGCATTATTTCTACTCTTTACACAGGGCCACATGCCTCCCTCAGAAAGGAGGATGTTCGCCTGCACTCTGGTGCCCCCAAAAGAGCATGTGGATTTCTACCATGGCGCTATGCCAAGCCCAGGAGTATGAAGCATTAAGATATATAGTCTGAGCATTGATTGGAAAAATATGAAGTCATCTACCGAGAAGCCTAAAATCAAAAGCCTCTCCTCTTCTCATTTAAAACTCATTCATGTAACTCTTACCTTCTAATAATATGGAACACATGAATGAATAAAATAATCAGTAGTAGTTGTCTCCATGAGGCTACTGATGTTAGTTTACTTATTCACAAAGTTATATATTTTGAATCCAGAGAGCTCTGGGTTTCTTTAAATCATAACTTGTGAATAATTCCATATATTGAAATGGAAAACCAGGATTCTGGAAGTCACGTCATTTAGTTTACATATTAAGGGAACTCTGTAAAACAGCTGTCCTGTAGGAAATTAAATTATCTAATTACAGTTTTCAGGTCTAAAAACATGAAGCTAAAGGCAAGGCACACACACACAGTTGGCCCCTGTACGACAGGGGTACGAATCGCACCAGCTGACTCGTTTCAGTAGTGAATACGTGAATACCGCAGCAGTCGGCGACCAGCTGGTGGCTGGACCTGCAGAACCGCGAGCAGAGGAACAGGAAAGAGGAAGTGTAGTCTCTCAGCCGCGTGTGGCTCCTCAGCCCCTTGACCTCTAGCCCGCCAGGCTCCTCTCTCGGGTTCGCAGGGGTGGGCAGCCGTTCCCTTCTCCAGGGGACCTTCCCAACCCGGGGATCGAACCTGGGATTCCTGCGTTGCAGGCATATTCTTTACCAGCTGAGCCAGCGGGGAAGCCCACGAATACAGAGGGCTGCTTGTAAGGTTATATGTGGATTTTCAACTTCAGTGGGTGTCAGCACCCCTAACCACTGCCCCTCCACATTTGTTCAAGGATCAGCTATACAAATCAGGGAAAACAGTAGTAGGATACTTTATAAAGCATAATCAGCTCGCTCTTGCTTTTAAAAACTGTTCTTACCCACACAGATTTCTTTTGAAACTGGAATAACCAGGAAGAAGTCGAGTCTTTGCAGATTCTCTGTCTTCCTCTCTTAGTCCAGGGGCCCCTAGCACTGTCTGGGACCTAAGAATGAAGGCTTCCAAAGCTGTTAATGGTAATTAGTAAGGTGACAGTGTTTTCCTCAGGGGAGCCTCAGCTGAAACTAGATTGTACTGGGAAATTTGTTCCATAATTCTGTCTGTCCTTCAAGAATTGGCTTTTCTAGAGTTTCATTCCTAGTTCTCTTTTTTCCTTCCAAAGGTCAGAATCAATGGGGAACTTTCAGAAATATATGCTGAGGGGAGCTCCAGGCTTGTTTGTTTTTATTAAGTACCAGGGGTGACTCTGATGCTGCAAGGCCACGCCATCTGTTGAAGTCTAGAGCTGTGCTTGATCTTAGAAACTTCTTAGAATTTAACCTACCACCAATGGAGGGGATCTCAACCTTTGTATTTGTTGTCTGCTTTCGAGTATTAGAATTTGACACACAGCGTTTTTTTGCACCTGTAATTAGGACACTGCTCACGTGGTTGTCTTTTATTCCTAGATCCTTGTCTAGATGATGCTTCCCCTTTTACTTTGAAGCTAGTTGTAGCTTTCTCTGTGTTGCATAGCCTGCTCAGCAAAACAGTTCATCTAACTGCGATGGTGACAACAGCATGATTCTGAGGTGCAGTGGAAACTAACTTTACAGTCAAGCAACGTTCTGTGTGACCCAAGTTGACAGTTCCTTACCTAGAGCAAGGTCTTTCCACCTGGGCACTCTTGAGATTGGGGACCAGACATTTCTCTGTTGGGCAGGTTTGAGGGGCTCCCCCCGCGTTGCGAGTTCCTTAGCAGTATCTTTGGCTCCACTCCCTAGGTGCCACTAACACCCCCCACACGTGGCCACTGACAGCCACAGATGCCTCCCGGTGAGGACGCCTGGCCTAAAGAATGGCTCCGCACAAATACTCATCTTTACTCCACGTCTTCCCTAAGCCTGTTTTCCCGTGGGTCCCTCTCAAGTTCCTTTGAGTCAACAACTCTTGTGTGCCACTTGCTCTGTGCTCTCTCCCTCAGATACTCTGCCTTCCCTCTGTAGCCTGCGGGTCACTGAAACTGACGTGACGTGTGGCTCGGCTCTGTCCTCCTTTAGGTCTGGTGCCAGACAGCTCTGGTGCCTGGAAGGCCAGCTGGGCCTGGAGCACTGCCCGGAGCCCCTCTTTTCTCCCTGGTCATTTCTCCCTTCTCCTCAAGCAGCACATCCAGAGGTATCTCTTCTCCTTAACATCCGCACTATCCCTTTATTCCTCACTCTCATCGGATAACTTCACCATTGTCTTCACAGAAAACAATGGCTGTTAGCTGAAATTCTCCTGGCTTACTGATCCTAAGCCTTCACGCACACCTGCCTCCACACCCACCCTTGCAGCCTTGCCTCCTGTCAGGACAGAGGACAGCCTCCTTGGTTCTAATGTGCTTTTCAACCTGGGCCTCTGTGTGCCATCACCTTCTCATCCTTGAGACCGGGCTCTGCTGACTATTTGCTCCCTCCAGTTCTTGTCCTTTCTGTCTCTGCCCACCAGCATTTCATCATGCTCAAGCATTTCCTATCCAGTTTTTATAACTCTCTTTCAAACCCATCTCCGAAGCTGTACCACCCTACAGCTTCTCCCCTTTACAGCCAGATTCTGAAAAGCATCTGCACTCACTGTCTCTTCTTCCCCTGAGTAAAGCAGGGAGAAAGTACAGGTGCCTTTATGTCTGTTTGTCCTTCCTTTTAACATAGCTGCCCCGAGACTGAACTGAGACTTTGTACAGATAGCAGACCTCTCGTGGCTTGCTGGCTTCTTGCCGCATGGCCTTCACTCCTGACCTTCTGTCATGTTAATTTGCTGAGGCCAGATGGCAGTCAGCACCGCACTGGGACCTCCGGCTTGTGTCAGCTGATTACAGTCAGCCGTCCTCTGGATGTTAGCCAGCACATCTTAGAGACTGGAAAACGCTCCCTGTTTTGCACCTCTCCTATTTAAAGGTCAGCCACAAAATTTTTAGTGGTTAAAAACACTTTTCAGAAGTAGAGTGCTGCAGCTCGGATCATTGTATGTCTAAGATGCCACCTTGGAAGCTAAAGTGGGTCAGTTGCCTGGCGGCTGGCAGAGGCACTGCTCTGATGCCCCCTCCTCAGAGGGAAAGCCTATTTAAGACAGTGCCTGCTGCCAGTCCCCGTTCGGGGAAAGAGTTCTTGTCTCTGAGCTTCAGTAGTCCTGGACCCTTTTATAATTGCCAGGTCTTGCACGGCGCCGAGAAGCCTCAGAGCTGTGGAAACCACTCGCCCTCGGTGTAGACGCCTCAGCCACCCCCGGCCGTTGTCCCGGTCGCTCTAGCTCAGTGCGCCGGGAAGTGGGGGAGCGGAAGGCACTGTGTCAGCGGCACTGGTTCTGTTCCCTTCTATGTCCTATACTTCCGCATGTCCCCCAGCATTTCTGTGTCCGAAGTATTCCTAACAGGAGCAAAGGGCTTCTCTGAGGCTCTGACGCACTTGTCCTTTACATGCCTCGCCGTCCCTGAACACATCGCCCGCCTTCGTCCCTGCGTGCCGCTCAGCCCTAAGTATGTCGGGCCCTTTTCTGTGTTTATGTGGAGCTTTTTTATTATTCGGGTCTTTTTAGAACGGTGGGAAGGGGTTCTTTTCCAAGTCTTACTGGCCCCACGTGCCCCTCTGAAGTGTCTGTGGATGCCTTTCATACATCTGCAAGCCTGTGAGAGGTCACTCTGGTGCGGGCGTGTGGAGACCTGAAGTCTTCACTTCAGCACGCTGAAGTGTTCTGACCGTGCCGCAGGAGTTGTATGAAGTATTGACATTACTTTGCCTAGTTATGTGTTTAATAATACCTTTTATTTGCATATCCTTGGGGCCTTTTCTGAGTTTTTCAGTTACTGCTGCAAACAGCCTCACAAGGCAGACGGCAGGCAGCCTTCCCCTCTGTTCTTCTCCCCCGCAGCGCCCAGATGAGATGGCTGGTAGTCAGAAAGGGCTGTTTGTCGCGGCGCAGGTTGTTGTAGGATCAGGGAAGGCCATGTGGAGTTTGCTAAAACAGTAGACCCGAGGAGACAGAAGCAATAGGTAAAGAAAACAGGTGACGAAGAAGAGAAGCCACGCATTCAGGGCCGCTCCTCTCCACAGCTGTCAGTGGCCCGAGTCAGAGTGAGGGGCTTGTGTCAGAAGGGCCAGCAGGTGGAGAGGGAGAGGTGTGCTGTGGGAATTAGGCTGTTTTCTGGGCCGGGTGTAGAGCTAGACTGTTGAAATCCTGGAAAGAGTGTGGCTGGAGGAAGAAGTATGGGAGGGAGGAAGGGAGGGGCAGCTTGCTGGCTGGGGTGGGGACTGAGGGTGGGAAAGCCATAGGGTGGGCAGATCACCTAAAGGAAAAGCGATTTTTATGGGAAAAAAAAAAAAACTTTCTGATTTTGAATTAGCTAAGGAAGAGACAGGCTTCAGCAATACATGAACCGAGAACTTCCAGATATTCAAGCTGGTTTTAGAAAAGGCAGAGGAACCAGAGAGCAAATTGCCAATATCCACTGGATCATCGAAAAAGCAAGAGAGTTCCAGAAAAACATCCATTTCTGCTTTATTGACTACGCCAGAGCCTTCGACTGTGTGCATCACAACAAACTGTGGAAAACTCTGAAGGAGATGGGAATACCAGACCCCCTGACCTGCCTCTTGAGAAATTTGTATGCAGGTCAGGAAGCAACAGTTAGAACTGGACATGAAACAACAGACTGGTTCCAAATAGGGAAAGGAGTATATCAAGGCTGTATATTGTCACCCTGCTTATTTAACTTACATGCAGAGGACATCATGAGAAATGCTGGGCTGGAAGAAGCATAAGCTGGAATCAAGATTGCTGGGAGAAATATCAATAACCTCAGATATGCAGATGACACCACCCTTATGGCAGAAAGTGAAGAGGAACTAAAGAGCCTCTTGATGAAAGTGAAAGAGGAGAGTGAAAAAGTTGGCTTAAAGCTCAACATTCAGAAAACTAAGATCATGGCATCTGGTCCCATCACCTCATGGGAAATAGATGGGGAGACAGTGGAAACAGTGTCAGACTTTATTTTGGGGGGCTCCAAAATCACTACAGATGGTGACTGCAGCCATGAAATTAAAAGACGCTTACTCCTTGAAAAGAAAGTTATGACCAACCTAGACAGCATATTAAAAAGCAGAGACATTACTTTGCCAACAAAGGTCCGTCTAGTCAGGCTATGGTTTTTCCAGTGGTCATGTATGGATGTGAGGGTTGGACTTTGAAGAAAGCTGAGCACTGAAAAATTGATGCTTTTGAACTGTGGTGTTGGAGAAGACTCTGGAGAGTCCCTTGGACTGCAAGGAGATCCAATCAGTCCATCCTAAAGGAGATAAGTCCTGGGTGTTCATTGGAAGGACTGATTTTGAAGCTGAAACTCCAATACTTTGGCCACCTCATGCGAAGAGTTGACTCATTGGAAAAGACCCTGATGCTGGGAGGGATTGGGGGCAGGAGGAGAAGGGGACGACAGAGAATGAGATGGCTGGATGACATCACCGACTCAATGGGCATGAGTTTGAGTAAACTCCAGGAGTTTGTGTTTGACAGGGAGGCCTGGTGTGCTGCGATTCATGGGGTCACAAAGAGTCGGACACGACTGAGCGACTGAACTGAACTGAAGGAAGAGAGGTTTTCTTTCCCAGCTTGTCCCTAGAGAACAGTTGGTCTTTGTTTTCCTTCATTACAGTGCTCCACAGGGACCCAAACACTTTCTTTTGGATCAGCAAACCTACAAGGGAACACTTAAGGACCCTGACATAAGAGAAATCCATTTATAACTAAGGTTAAAGGGACAGAGAACACTCAATTTAAACAGCTTTAAAAATTAAATATGGGATTAAACTATTTTGCTCATTCCAAATAACTGGTAATAGTAAAGAAAAGCTAGATAATAAGAAAAGGGGAAAGCAGAAATGCTGGTAAGAAGGGAAGGTAAAAGCCAGCACTGCTGGCTTAAACCAGGATTTCCACAGACAACTGGTTCAAGTCAGCTCCCCAGCTCCAGAGCAGCTGCTCCAGAGGTCACACACCCTTCTCTCTTCTGTCACCTGCCAACTGGCCAAAGTTCATTGTCCACACTGCATCGAACTGCCTGAGAGCACATTCCCAGCCCCCCATCTCGACCAACACTGACCAAACCCTCACTGGTCCATAGACCTCCCAGAGACATTTGCCAAACATACGCCAAATAAAGGCAGATGCATGTACCCTTGCAGTGAGGAGGAGCTGTCATTTATGTCAAACCTAAAGGGGTCTGTATCTGAAAAAAGGAATAGAGGCCTTGTTCTTACCTTCCTTAGGCCACAGCCAACACCGTTCACAGCTGCTGGGGAATAACCCCCACCTCTGAGAATACCCTCTCAGTGGAATTCTGGGGCAGGCCTTTATCTCCCTTTCAGAGTACACTTCAGATGCAAGGAACAGTAAACAGATGTGACAATGTGTTATGTGTACTAAATGAATTTGGGTCTTGTCTATGGTTTGATGACTTTCAGCCCTTAAGTGAAAACCTTCAGGGATGATGAGGTTCTGATTCACTGCATTATCTGTAAGTTTCAGACTGTGTGTACAAAGTCACTTCAGTCGTGCTTCTTGGCGACCCCACGGACTGCAGCCCGCCAGGCTCTTCTGTCCGTGGGATTCTTCAGGCAAGAATGCTGGAGTGGGTTGCCAAGCCCTCCTCCAGGGGATATTCGCAACCCAGGGATCGAACTTGCATCTCTTACGTCTCCTGCACTGGCAGGCGGGTCCTTTACTACTAGGACCACCATTTAGTTGCCAATATCTTGATTCTTGGGCTTCTCGGGTGACTAAGTGGATAAAGAATCCACCTATCATGCAGGAGATGTGGGCAGAGTCAGACGCGACTGAGCATGCACACACATCTTGATTCTTAACCCCAAAAAATGGGTACAAGGCTACTGAGTGATGATCGGTTATTTGGGTTGAAACTGTAAGCATGAATGTTTCTTCCAAATCCCAATTAAAACAGTGAGTTTTCTAAATCTCTTACTTTTTTAAACAGGTATATATATTTTGAAAAGGTATATGTAACTACTTATAAACTAATATATAAATTACAAATTAACAACATTTAAAAAGCATATGATGGTTCAATTTGGTATCTTTCTCAAAATTTCTTTTGTCTTATCCCGAGACTGTGATTGGATGATGGTGCCCGGATCGCCTGTCCTGGCCCCTGCCTCTGCCCCTGCCCCATGGCCAGGACTATGGGGCTTCCTTGTGGCCTCATTTCAGGTTCTCAGAGCCACTACAGGGAGGTACATGAGCTTGAGAAATGATTTCAAGAGCTCCCTCACTGTCTTTTGTCCTTTCCATAGGGCACATGCACCTTCTTCAAGAATGCAAAACCCTCCATGACTTATTTCCAGTCACAAGGATGTGACGCTCCACTCTCTGGAATCAAAATCACCCATCCTCTCTCCCTTCAACATTTTAGCTAAAAACTGCTGGTTAAATGTTATCTGATTCCTAAGCACAGCTCATCCCTAAAAATAGTCCCAACTACCCTGTAACTTTACAAGCATTTAACTTGGGTTGCTTAAAGGTCTTATTTCTTTTACATTTCATTTACTTATTTTTTTGTTTTTACCTTTGGTTTATTTTTTTTAATTGAAGGAAAATTGCTTTACAATGTTGTGTTGGTTTCTGCTATACAACAACGTAAATCAGCTGTAATCATACATACATCACCCGCCTCTTGAGCCTCCCTCCTCTCCCCCTTCCCACCCATCTAGGTACTCACAGAGTGCCAGTCTGGGCTCCCTGTCTATCTGTTTTACAAGAACTCTTTTTAAATAATGTTTTAAACAGCATTTAAACAGAGGTTCATGAAACTAATTATATAGAGTTTAACTCCTGGTTAACATTTAACTTCTGGTTAATATTTTTTGAAATTCTTTTTTTTGCTTTGGATATTATTGAAAACAACTGATTTATAAGATACAGTTATCTTCATTCTTAGTAAAATTCCTACTTTTCCTCAAATCTTTATTTGGAATTTGGTGGAATAAAACCCACCAACCAAATACTACTTATCAGTTTTCATTATATGGTGCTATTAACACATAAGATTGGGTTTAGATTTTCTGCCAGCTCTGTTTTAATACAGCCCTAGTATTTGTCTCTTCGGACCAAACAGGCTAACTGAAAGTTTCATTTCTTTGCGCTTTGGCCTAAGAGTTTTTCAGGGAATAATTTGCGATACAACCCTCCATTTTTCACAGGCATGTTTTCCACAAATCCTGCGTGGATCCCTGGCTTAGCGAACACTGCACCTGTCCTATGTGCAAGCTTAATATCCTGAAGGCCCTGGGCATCGTGGTATGTTTCCCATTCTGTTAATACTTCTGTGTCGCTTTACATCTCAGCGCAACATAACATAGGCGTTCTCTGCCAGATGGTCTTGTTGGTCCGGTACTACACTTTCTTCCACATTAAAGTCCAGCCCACATCAGAGGACTTATGGAAGAGCAGCTGAAGAACTGTGCTAGTCTACTTTAAAGCATGCTTCTGTTGAGTGGTGGGTGTGTGACGAAGAACTAAGGTAGAAAGAAGGATGTGATTTTCCTATATTTCAATATCTTTTTTTTCTTTAAAGGAGGAGAATGTGGATTTTTAACTCTAGTCCAGTAGTAATTTTTTCTGCATTCAACGTGATATTAAACCGTGTCATTACTTACGTTTCTTCCTCTTGAATTTGGCTTTGCTCTCCTGGATGTTGGTAATTGAGGGTGAGGTCAGTGAGGGTGCGCAGTGCCAGCCCCAAGCTGATCTCTGACAGCTGGGTAGGGGCTTTGGTTGGGTACCAGCCACATAGAGCACTTCAGCCATAGCCAGGTGAGCCAGCATTGATAACCTCAGGACCTTGGAGTTCTTTGCTTAAAAGAAATATCAATATATGTCCAGGATTATTGCCTTTTAGAGGAAAGTGAGATACTTTCTGATCTCAAAAAAGAGTCGTTGAATAATCTCCATATAGAGAAGAAAGTTTATGTGACCCAACAGATGAATTCCTCATTTTAACTTTGCAGATCTGAATAATCCTATTTAAAATATGCTATCAGATGACATTTTAGAAGCAATCCAGTTAGGTAGTAGTGCCCCATTTATCCTCCCATCTTCAAAGATCATGTCAGTGATTTATAGTTTCTTTACCTCTTAACACTGGACACTGGCCTAGATACTCCCTTCTGGTGAGGGCCACCCTTGAGACTGTCTGGCGGCACCCCTGGCCTTCCACGTCCACTAGTTAGGGGGATGATAGTAGCCTTTAGCCCCACAGCACTCTGCTCCACTCCCTCAGCATCAGGTGCTTACATTGTGAAACAGGTTTTTAGAGTTCAGAAGACTTATCAATGTAGATCTACTCTTGGTGGTATGCTTGCTTTATGTTTTAAAGGTGAAATTTATTTAAAACCTGACTAGCAAATAGATGAGGTGTTACAGAACAGTTAATAGGGAAAAGGGGATATTTTATGTTATCTGTGTTAACACATGCACCAAAGTGATACACTGCACTGATTGTCAAGTTTATAATAATAATAATAATGAATCTCTTTGCCTGTGAGCCATGTTCACAAAACGTTGTCCTTTATAAAGATGAAGTATCCAATTTTCTCAGTTCTACAGTGGATTTTGGCTTTCCTTTTATCATTTTGGGGAAGAAATCACCAGTTTCTTTTAAATAAAAACTCTTGAACGAGAATGGAAAGTGTAAATGGGGAGAGAAATGAGAGGAAATCACATGGAAAAAAGTGGTAAAATCTTTGCAACAGGATGTCAAGCATTTAGAATTTGATAAAAGGATCTGTTAATATTACAAGCACTTTTAACCTGGAAATATTTTGCAGCCAAATTTACCGTGTACTGATAATGTAGCATTTGATATGGAAAGGCTCACCAGAACCCAAGCAGTTAACCGAAGATCGGCCCTGGGTGAGCTTGCCAGCGACAACTCCCTGGGCCTCGAGCCACTTCGCACTTCGGGGATCTCGCCTCTTCCTCAGGATGGCGAGCTCACTCCTCGAACAGGAGAGATCAACATCGCAGTAACAAGTAAGTGGGCCCTGTGCCCAGGGTGCGGGACTGGCTTGCTGCTGGTATTTGACGTGTGGTGAAGAGTTGAGGCAATTGGTCACCAGGGCCAGTGACTTAAGTCTGTAAATGAGAAAGTCATGGGTGCTTTTGTTAAAACAGATATTTGTAATCATGAAACTTCCTTTCTAATAAGCAACTTGTGTATTTGTGTGTAACTAATGATTATAGTTGCCATTGGATGAGCAGTTGATCAGAGGTCTGTCTTAATAGCTGCTTATCAGCCTGTTTTGAAATGATGGTGTTGCACACAGGGATGTGAGGTGTGACGTCTGCAGCGTCACAGGTGTGTTGTGTAACTGTGAGCACCAGTGCTCTCTAGTTCCTATGCTGCAGGAAACTTAGTAAAACACTCATCCAGAATTTGAACCTAAAATTCACAACTTTAGGAACAGTTGAGATAGCCAGTTGCCGCTCGCTGTAATTTACACTTTTCTGAAATTTGGTGTCTTGGTATAATTGTACAAGGGGTGTGAGAAAAACCATAAGATAATCTACTTTTTAAAAATGTTCTGGGCTAGTTATGAATGTCATGATTGTTGAAATGTTGACAAGAAACAAAAAAATGCTCTGAATGTTTTGATGGCCTTACCAAAGTATGAGTGGGCTGGCAGGCGTGTGAGTGGACATTCACCCTGTAACAAGCCAGCTGTTTTCAGTCCATTCTTTATGTGTTATTCTCTTCTAACAACCTTTCACCCCATCTTCCTCATCACCACTCTGGTGCTGCCTTTTTCAGTATATGCTGTGCTTGCCTATAGCTTCAAGCCCTAACCCTAATGGGACTCCTCTCAACTTCTGGGAGTCAGTAAAATGGATAAAACTATTACAAAAAGACTTTTCCCTTAAGTAGTAAGACTTGGGTGGTCTATTCAATTGATTTATACATGTTTTCAACCAACCAAAAATTGTTAGAAAATGATTTTGCATGTTTTATTCTCATTTGTTTAAACTCAAGGAGAGTTCATTAAGTTATAGAATCAGTAAAGCTATTCTTTGATACATTTTGGCTAATTTCTTACCATTTCCCAGTGTTTTGTTTTAACAGCATTTCATGTTTTCCTGCTTTGACATTTAGGTTTTATGGGCTAGATTTTTTTTAAATGATGTAATAATAACAAAAGAGATAAAGGTTGCCTGTTTATTAATGAGTTATTGGTAGGTCTTTCATTGATCAACATTTATTGAGCACCTACTACTACATTAAGTAATTATCCCATTATATTTTATATAGAAATATCCTTTCAAAATCTTTTATTTTGATGATAAAAATATTACTTCATGTGTCAAATTAATCACCTTTAGCAAATTTGTACATGCTAAAGTGAAATTCATGTGGTTAAATGAGACCAAAGCTGCCTCTCCTTTCAGCTCAAAGCTGTGTAGCGCCGTAGTAACTGCAGCGCATTCAGCCAGCATCCAGTTTGCAGGGCACTGTGCTAAACACTCACTGGGGAGGACAGAGGCGGCCGGGCCTGGCCGCGTGCATCGGTGCTGAAATGCCTCTGGGCCCGTCGGGCGTTACTGTGATGGTGTTGACTTCTTTTTGGTTACTGGTTTTTATAACTGAAATGCCATGCGTGTCTGGATGCTATATTCAAAATTGGAAACATAGACATAAGTGAAGTTAGTCTGCTTATCATGTATAAAAAAGTCTTAAGAAGAAAAAAATAAAAAATGCTATATTAAGCTTCTTGAAATTGATGACCAGCATCTCAATCTTTTTTAAATGCCAGTATACATTTTTCCTAACTTAAAATATATGGGGTTAAAAATGGTGGATTTTACATGGGTTCCTGAATGTTTATTATTTTGACTTAAAGAAAAAACTAATAAATTCACTCTGTTGATGAAGAATTTGTATTCCAAGAAGCAGCGGCTGCACTGTTATCTAAAAAGAAAGAGCTTGCTGTGCATTTTAATAATGTAAACCAAGATGGGCAGAGAAATGCTTATAGAACAGCTCAGCATCCTGGAATCCTGAAGAACAGTTCTTTTTAACCTTTTGAAGATCACCACCTCTAAAATTCGATGAAAGTATAATAACCTTTTTCTAGAAGAATTAGTGGGCGCACCCAGTGTTGCATAGCTGTAGGATCCCTGGAAAGCAGATTAGAAACACCCATGTTACACATAGCTTTCGCATATAAACATTTGGCGTTCCAAGTATAAATTTCTTCTCTCTGCATAAATGCACATGTACAGGGAATTTTACTGTGTAAAACTTTGTTAAACCAGTCCAAGTTTGTGTATACTTCAGGGAATATTTTATAGTTAAAACTTTTTAGGAAGTCAGATTGATTCTCAGGTTGTTTTTATGGTTCTCAGTAAATACTGTTTTTGAAATATTACCTTGATGATACAGAGTTTGAAAAATCAAGGGGAAATATTAACTGATTTCCTAGATCTAGAAAGAAACTAGATAAAAAAAACCTTTAGAGTTCTGTGTACCATAAGCTTTCATCTCTTTGATGGGCCAAGTATCTTGTGAATAACTTTCCCTTTCTATTTCTGCTTAATAAAGCCTTAACAGCCAGTGCTGCTTCTTAGTGGTGGAGTTGTGAAGGATAGTCCTCTTCTTTGCAGGAGACACCAATAAGATGTCCTTTTTAAAAAAGACTCTTAAGTAAACCCACTCATAGACAAAAAGAACATAGATGAGAATGCCATGGAAGCCAGCCTGCGAACTGCTTGGAGTACCCAGGAGACCTTTGGGGACCACTGCTCCATATTTCTAAGCCTTTCTTTAGGAATGAGTGACACAGCCATGCAGAAGTGACAGATGAAGAAAAAAAGGTTATAAGTATGGCTAGTCCACTTTACTGTCATTTACCAGTTTTAAAACCTGTGTCCATGTGCCATTTTATATACATATTTTACTGCACACTTTTTGGTGCCACACCTCTCACAGACCTCAGGACCTTAACTGGAAGAAATGTTTGGGCCATGCTTTCCTTTCTGCCTTGCAGCTTTCACCACTACTCCCACTAACCTTCTCCACTTAGTAGCTCTCTGGCAAACCTCCTCCTGCTTCACTTCCTTGTGCCAGTCTTGGCTTACACCTTCGTTGACGTCTGCTTCGTTGCATTTGAGGGAAATGTTGACATCGATTTGACTTAAGTCTTCTCCCCAGAGTGATTTCCTCCCTTTCCTTTGTCAACAGAAGAATGGTTTATTATTGCCAGTTTTGGCCTCCTCAGTGCTCTCACACTCTGCTACATGATCATCAGAGCCACAGCTAGCTTGAATGCTAATGAGTAAGTAACAAATTGTTTTTTGGATTGCATGTGCCAAATGATCCCAGGAAAATATGTCATTTTCATAAAGATCATGAGAATTGGCTTCCACCAGTTTCATACTGAGCCTGATGGGATCACAAACAGTAACACTGACTGGGAGTTCACTGTGTTCACTTTAGAAAAGATCTAGGGGCTTTCATCAGCCACAAGGTTAGAGTAAGTCAGCGACGGAACAAATGCCGAGGAAACCAGTACAGTTGTAGCATGTAGAGAATCCCCACGTCCTGATCACTGATAGGATTAGCCCCACTTTGCTGCTTGCTCGTCAGACTTTACCTGGAGATTTATATACTTAGCTTTCGGTGGAGAACTGGCACCCTGGCCTATGCTCACAGGAACATGGATATTTAACCTGCAAGAAAGAAGCAATCAGAAAGACCTGTGACTTCTAAATATTTGAAAGATGATCAGGAAAGGAAAATATAAGCATAGACTGTATTTTCATAGGACAAAATGAAGACCAGGTTACAGATAGGCAAAATTTCACCTTGGTAAAAGGAAGAACATCTGTCAGCAGGCTACTTACCAGTGAGACGGTTTGCTGTGGGGGTTGGGAGTGCCCTGGACCAGGAGTGCAGGCAGAAGCTGCGTTTTACTTGTTAGAGCTGTTGGATGGAAAATTTGGGCTGGATCACTGTTGAGGTTCAGTTTTATCCACTGGTTTTCCAGAAGTAGCCTTCCTCGGGGGTAGCTTGTCTCCATGGGGGCGGCTTTATTTGTTATGCATTAAACTTGGGGCATTTACTTTAGGATGTTATTCAGTCCTTTTAAGCAATATTCATGAAAACTAATTCAAGACGAAAGCATCCCTGGAACACTGCTGAAACTTGAACTTGAATTGGTGGAGTTCCTGTGCTCTCTGTTTTCTGTTATGTCCTGGCACTTTAGTTGATTAGTAACAACCAACCAAGCTCATGTAATTGATTTAATTAAATGCTCATAGTCCAACTATAGAAACAATGGGCAAGGAACTTCCATTTCCAATGGCATGATTTTATTCCTCCTAACCCAATCTTTTGGCTAGATACTTAAAAGAAGTACCCTTTGCCGTCCTTGACATATTACATATTGAGAGGACGTTATGGTCACTTGGCAGTCTTCAGTCTTGAGATGAGTAGTCTCAACCTCATCCAGTAGGTCACCAGCTAGCTGCTTCTGTTGGGCCCACCTGATGCAGTTTTACTTCAACCTAGCACAGTGTTAATAACTCAGACTCTAGAGTCACACATACCTGGATATGACTACCTGCTCCTCCATATTTTTCTTGTGAGACCTAGATAATATTTATCTGAAGTTCATTTTAGTCATCCATTAAACAAGAATAATGGTAGGAGTACATCATAGGGTTGTTGTAAGAATTAGCATATAAAGTGCTTAGCACAGTGCCTCGTACATAATAAGTGCTCAATAAATGTTAGCCAAAACAATTCCTCTGAGATTCTTTCAAAGTTCTATGAATAAGATGGCCATCTGTCTTTATCATTTGGCAAATGAATTTAATTTTCTTCCATGAAATAGAATACAGAATCATAAGGGCTCACGAGTGCCTGTAATCAAACCTCAGTTTGGAGGGAAATATCTATTTCTCCTGAAGTCACCTCTTTTGCTTACTCCCATACAAACCCATCAGACAAGATGATAATGTAAACCCACTTCTTAAAA